GCGTTACCACGACGTCTTAACAGCCTCGTAGCCGTAGAATTGAAGACTCCCAAACAAAATAGGTTGGCTTCCTTAGGACAGGGTTCTCCTTGCTGATGAAAAGAACTGGAACCTTGTAAGAGAGGGAACAAAAGGTTTGGGGTGATAGTGACTTCAGGAAGCAGATGTTTGGTGAGGTTTCAGAGACAGATTTTTCTAGGATGTGTTTAAAAGATGTGTTACTTGTAGAGAAGCCCTCCAACCTTCCCCAAGCTCTAGGCATCCCCCAGGGCCTGCCCTACTTGCAACTACCCATGGGTCCCTTCTGTGCTACCTCCACTACCCAGCTTAGTACCCAGATTCCCCAAAACTGAGGTGAACTAGGTGTAGACCATGATGACATACAGGAAGGAGCAGATGCAGGAGACATTGTAGAAGGGAAAACAATAGGCCAAGGGAGCTGAGCAAATATGCACAAGAGTGGAGGAGGAGGAGGAGGAGGAGGAGGAGGAGGAGGATGTGATCACCACTCTGTGAAGCTGGACCTCACAAGGAACACGGAACACAGAACACAGGAATTAGACTCAGTCCCCAGGAGGAATGGGAACTATGCTTTGAGAAATGCTGAAGTACAGTCATCAACAGAGCTAAGATGCTCAGGAGATACTTGTAGATGCATCTTTAATTTAGTATAGACCTGGAGGCTTATACATATAGACAGAAAACTAACTTTGCCAGGAGTCATTTGAGATAGAGGAGCCAGCTAAGGTGACTGGGAAAAGGAGCTGGAGCCAGAGGGGGCTTCCCTGGGTGTGGTACTGTCTCTTCTGACTCATCAGTTATATAAAATATAAGCTGTAATAATGAAACCAGGTTTATTTATAATGTTTAACACCTTTACACATTTTTGGGTGAAGGAGCTCCTTTGATTCCACTCTAGAAGTGAGCTAGATTTGAGTTATGATCCACAGTATAGATGAGGGAACTAAGAATTTAATAGGAAAGAAACAATACCGTTTATGACTAGAAGGTTTCAGACTCACACTGAGGTCAAATCCTGAGCTTGTTCCCATGAAGTACTGTGGAGAAACTCAGAAAAATCAAAGCTAAATCCCCACACTAACCCACGAGTGCTATGTTACTTTTGACTGGTTCCCTTCCCCCATCATTCATTTGCCCAGAGTGTTCTTTCTCAGTCCTTTGCTTAAACTGGGCAGCTGTTACTTGACTCTGCACTCTGTCCTGGGAGCTCTTTCCTCCATGAATCTTCCTCCCCAGAAACTGCAGATACGATTGTGTCACCCTTTAGGAATGGTCACAGGCTACCATCATCATTTCTAACATGACACCACACGCGGACTCCTTTATAACCTGTCATGTTGTCAGCTCATCTAAGGTTGCTGCTTTTTCCTTCCCTGTGAGCTGGGGTTGGGAATTTTCACTGTTTTGTTCCTTGTTGTGTTTAAGCACCCTTATGCATGCCCAGCACAGGATCAGATCCCAGTAAATTTCCTTAACTTCAAGTGTTGGGCTAAGAAGAAGCTGCTGGGATTGGTCTCTTGGAGCTTCATCTGCATGGGCTTAGGGCAGAAGACAGGAAGCAGGCAGAAGAGTGAGGGTGGGAACAGAAGGGGTGGGAGGAGGCTGCCAGCTGTGGGAAGCTTGGTGGTCAGGGAAGAGATCAGAGAATTGGTCAAGGGGTGGAGCAGAGGCAAGGGAAGTTTGATCCTTGCCCTGTTAATGGGGCAGACTTGGCCATGCCTCTTAGTTTGCTTCACCTACAATATGGAATGAAAATCTAACTTGTGGACTCATGAAGATCCTGAATGGAGTAGGAAAACAAGCCAAAGACTCAAGTCAGGAAGATGTCTGGGAGGGAAACAAACAAATAAATATAGGCCTGGCTCTGTGTTCCAGAAGTCCTTTATGGAGACTGTCCACATCATCCAAGAACATTTATAACAATCACCGGACCCCAAGGCAAAGGCCAGCAGACTCACCATGCCCATCTCTTCTGAAAACTGAGGCACCATGCTCTGTGCTGGAGATGTTAAGGCATCCTGCCAGAGTTTGTGTGACCTCTGTGATGTGAAAACAACAAACCTGAGCCCCACACCCTATAGTTGAGACAGATCTGCAGAGGCAAGAGAGGTGTGCCTCCTCTGAGTGTTCTCAGGTCTTGCCCAGTCAACTGACACAGAGAGAAGTTGACTGAACACTTAAGAGAACTCAGTCGGAACTCTGGGGCATGTGTGTCCCACGGCAGCCCCTCAGGAACTCAGGAGACAGGTGGACGGTTTGTGATAGGCAAACTGGAGCGCTAGGGACCAACGAGAAGCATGAACAAGAGTTGTTTTTCTGGAGACAAAGCATCAAGTTATGTAAACTGTTCTTCCCAGGCATATAAATAGCCAGGTCTTCTTTTCTGCATGTCAAGGAAAGTATGTCACCCCTGAGAAGGATTTGGTGACATTAAATTTGGGCACAGTGTTTTGATATGTGATGTACCATGGGCAAGACACAATACTTTGATGTTTTTAGTGATCTTCCAGGCTGTAGGGTAACTGTCACCTACACAACTACTATTTGTCTGCATATACACGCTTCTGCCTCATCTGCTTTGGGGCATAGAAGACGCAGGGAATATAAGGCTATGGACTCATAACTTTGGTTTTAAAATAATCAAACTAAATCATCTGAGGGCTTGATCATCACAAAAACTTTTTGTGGAGAAAATCATAGTTTCAAATATTTATAAAAAAATCTAATGCCTGTCAGAGATGCTATTCACTACTTTTTTCTGGGTTATCAATTTTTATCTTGCCTAAATGGTTTCCATGAAGTATGGGCTGTTGAATTTCACAGAGAGAAGAACTAGGGCTCAGGTGCATGAAGTAACTCATCCAAATCACAGAGCTGAGGAAAAGTAGGATGCAAGTCAGCAGTTTGACCTTACTACCAATGCTTTTAACTAGGGCACCATTTACTCTGCCATAGGTCAGAGCTCTTATCTCATTGCCAAAGAAATGGAAAGCAGATATACTCATATCCTTATCCTCATCCTTATCCTCTACCACTGAGAATTTTTATTTCCACCTCGACCTACTATCTATAAGCATTTTTCCATGTGGTCTCCAAGCAGGATATATAAGAAATGTTTTATGTGAGTTCATGTTACATTAGCACATCCATTATTTAGCAGTGACTGTAGAATTGGATCCTTTAAACTTGGGGAGTGAGGCCTTTGTCTGAAGTTGTAAAGCTGTAAATTGGCCGGAATACTAATGTTTCAAAGCAACAGTTTTTTTTT